CTTCTTTCCCTCCTGGACTTTATTTGGAGGAGAGAAGAGATCTGGTCCATTGTAAATACTATATGTCATGGTAGAGATATTGTGATCGTGTGTATAATGTATTGTAGTATTTATTTGTACAGTCATTGTAATATATTCCCTTTCCCCATTCTGAGTCTGGTGTGTTTTGTCTGGAAAAACCCATCTCACATTAGGTTGGGATGTGGGAGGGGGCTTAGACTAGGGGATTGGATTTTGAGGCTATCTCAAACCATGACACATTGCCAGGTCAGGAGTAAGAGACTCTCACTTCCCAGGAGAAGGGCGTTCCTTCCAGTGGAGAAAAAGTCTGGTGGGGAAGAGCTGGTCCATATTTGTCGTGGGCTTTCTGTGTAAATTGTTTCTTAGCCTTACACATTTTTTTATTAATATTGTTGCTGTTAGTGTTATTTTTCTTATCTCATCACTGTTTCCAGTCAATTGTTCTTATCTCAACCAGTGATTTGCACCTTTTGTGCCTCCAAATCTCAACTCTGTCCTTCCAGACCAGGAAGGGGGAAGGGAAGGGGGGAATGAGTGAATGGCACTGTGGCCTTAAGTTTTGGTGGGAGAACTAAACGGGAGAATACCATTCCTAAACCACAACACCCCCTAAGTTTATTTATATTTATAAGCTTTTTAATTGATAAAAACACATACATTGGTAGAATCTAAAGTTGCAAAACTTTCTATAAAATATAATGTATTAAAAAGGGAATGCTCTATTTCTCTAATAAAGTCCTACTTGAAATCATTGTTTACAATGACATCAACTCAGCCTTATGATTTTCAGCAATCTATTTTTCAGTTTCTATATTCATACGACTTGGATCAGTTTCAGAAACTACATCAAATAGAAAACCTAATGTAGGAAGGACAGTGTTTTATTAGTTAAGTGTGGTAACTCAATTAATATGTCAAATAGTATCACTACATTTGTAAGAATAGATCCTCATCTGTCTTTAAAGTGTAACATTCACCCCCAAAAGAACTCAAAGTTTTATTTTATTTTCTAAATATCTGAAAAGCTTATCTACAAAAAAATACCCTTCCAGCAAATTTAAGGCATAAAAAATTCAGTCTATTTCCATTTTCTTTTGATGCAAGTAGATAACTACTATTAATACAAATGGAAGAAAAATACGTTATTAAAACCAGAGCTGGTGGCACAGCTGATATTAATCTGCTTAACACCTCATATTATAAAATCTTTTTCTCAGTTTCTTGGAACTCTGGGCAAAATTTATCTGTTTATAGTTGGTTTATTCAGGCAGGACATTTGCCTCAGGTAGAATTAATTTCTAAAAAAATGTCATTCATATGAGTTTGGCCATCTATGACTATGGAAAAAATGGACTGAAAGTAGGTGCGTTTTTTTTTGTTTTTCTTTGAAATTCTTATGCTCCCAGTATACAGGTCTAGCATTCCTTCTCATAGGCTGGAAGAACTGTTTTTAAGGCAACAGAAATTTTATATGGTGCAGTAAAGAAATGGAACATGTTGGGGCAAAGATATTTCAAATAATATTTATAACAGATGAGCAGTGAGAGGCATCAAGAAGCCAGCAAAAGAAACTGAGACAAGCATGAAATGTAAAGTTTACGTGTTGACGATTAACTTGAGATTAGAACTGAAGATTGCTCTAGGGTCTATCTTGACAGCCTTCAGCAAAACTAACTCCAGTTTGTAAATATCTTTGTTGTAACAAGTGGGCCAAAACCAGATGAAGTTCTGTAAATATTGTCTAATGTGTGCTGAACAGAGGGGGATAATCATTGCCTGCATTGACTGGCCATGGTGCTGTTCATACTGCCCATGGAGCTTTACTAGCTGAGGCAACAAGATCCAGGACCCTACCCACAGGCCTGCTCCCAGACTGCCCATCCCAAGCCTGTGTTGTTGCAGGGGATCCATTTTGATTTTCCTTTGTCTCTGGAATCATACTGCCTCCCTAGACAGCACAAAACTTCTTATAACTCCAATGTAACAGGCAAAGTTATATGAATTGCCTCTTCCAAACTCCCTTTTACTCTCTTTCTTAAAGTCAAGGTTTTTTGAGCCATTTGTAGTTTCACACAGAAGTCACATTCCTCTTGTGTATAACTTTGCACAAATATGGACCTGTTTGAAACTACCATGAGATACTGTGACATTCTACTGTCTTGTCAAATGCTTTAATGGTGTAAAATGGGTGGACAAAATATTTCTGCCAGTTGAAAAAAAATTTTAAAAATTATATCTTTCTCATTGAAATGCTTTGTTTTACAAGAACCAAAAGAAATAATAATTGTCATTATAATATTCTGAGGATATAGGGAATTTATACACATTTTAGGAAAAACAACTAATTTTACTGGGCAAGCTAACAGACAGAGAAAAAAGAGAAAAAAAGTAACTGAGCTTTAGCACTCAGCCCCATCATATCTGAGAAAGCAGCACATTTCACAGATTCACAGATTGGCTGAGGTTGAAAGGAATCTCTGCAGGTCATCTGGTCCAGCCACCCTGCTCATGCAGGACCACCTAATTGCCTGGGACCACATCCAGATGATCTTTGAGTATCTCCAAGGTGAGTTAGACTCGGCAACCTTCCCAGGCAATCTGTATCAGTGTTTGTTCAGTGTTTCCTAATATTCAGAGGGAACCTCCTGCATTTCAGTTTATGCCCACTGCCTCTGGTCCTGTCACTGGGCATCAATGAAAAGATCCTGGCTCTGTCTTCTCTAAACCCTTCAAGTGTAGAGAATATTCTCATTAATAAATATATAATGAATGAGCCTTCTCATATTCAGGCTAAACAGTTTCAGCTCTCTCAGCCTTTCCTAATAGATGAGAACCTTCAGTCCAGTTCCCTCATCCTTTTTTTGACCCTTCATTGTACTCCCTCCAGTATGTCCATGCTTCTTTGATACTAGGAGCCCACAACTGGACCCAGCACTCCAGGTGTGGCCACATTAGTGTAGAGTAGTGGGTCAGGATCACATCCCTCAACCTTCTGGCTACACTCCTCCTAAAGCAGCCCAGGATACTGTTATCTTCCTTTGCAGAAAGAGCATGTTGCTGGCTTGTGTACACCAAACCATATACAAGCTGAAGGAACAGTTTTATTTTTATCTGTTGGACAAGTCAGCAGGTTGACAGAAAGAAACCCCAGCGGTTCACATTTCAGGAACACAAGTTGACTCTAGCCACAAGAGGAGCCATATTATCAAATAAGTCCCTTAGTATTTATATTGGTTGTGTAATTTTTAATATCAAATAGAGATGAATATTTGCTTCCATATTAATCTTTTAAAGGGGCCCCCCCGTGGTCTAGTGTTTAGGATGTGGCACTCTCACCACCGCGACTCAGGTTCAATTCCCGGTCAGGGGACTTCCCCGGGCAGATGGAGCTCGTTAGCCCTGTGAGGCCATCATCTAAGAGAAGGTCACTCTAAACAAACCTACGTCCTGAGGACCTCGCTGCCACTGTCCAAGTTCGCTTGGCCCCGGTAGATGAACCTCAGGATTAAAGGGTGGGCTCAGTTCAGCACACGCTGGGTCTCACCTAAAAAATCCACTGCGCAGGCTCGAAGGATAAAGACCTTTCCCAAATCTTCGTTTGCGAAGACTGGCCATGATGAATCTTTTAAAAAATACTGTATGCTTCCCTCCATAATCAGAGCAGAAAGACAGAGGCAAGACTGTGAAAGTCTATCCTCCCATTGCTAGAGAGAATTAAGTTAATCAAATTCTGAATTCTGGGTTTAATGCCAGTGGAGCATGAGTCATTTCTCTACTTGCTGAACACTTAAAATTAAAAAATTAACATCTGAGAGTTTAGATTATTTTGTATGAAGGAAAAAATTAACTTTGCCTTGGCAACCAGAC